GCACTTCAGCCTGGGTGACAGTGAGACCCTGTCTCAAAATTTAAAAAAAAAAAAACAAAACAAAACACAGCACTTAAGAGGAAGACATTACCAAAACAGACCCACAGGCCTGACACCCATGTGACAAGAAATCAAGGCAGTCCTGGTTTTCAACCCCAACAATCTCTCATGGGCTCTACCTGAAACCTGGTACCTGCCTGTGCCTGCACCCGACACTCAGGCCTCTGGAGAGGCCCGTAGAGATACTGGCAAATCTGAGGCAGGGGCAGGGTTGAGGGACACTGGAGGCCACCACCATGCAGAATTTAGGAACCACATGGTAAAATGAAAAACGGAAACCAGTGTCCCATTAGGGATCCAGTTGTCAAATTATTTGAAGTTTGTGTGTTGAAAAAAATGATTAAAAGGTGATGTGTACATGGTAGTCATTATACCATTCTCTCTGTATCTATGTATATTTGAAAATTTCTGTAATATATTTCTAAAAATGGTAAGACTGTTCTCTAACACACGCCCTTACTCTTGTTATATCAGAGCGTAGAGGAGAAATTCAGGGACGGATTCAGAAAGAATTGAGAGAGACATAGTTACCAGTCTCCATCTCCAATCAGTTAAGCACAGCAATCCAAATCATAGGAGAATGGGACGCGCACTGGCCACATTCTAAGATCACATGTGAAGGAAGTCTCAGCACACCTTCAAGAAGTCCTAATACTAACATGGCAAGAGCAAACTAAATTCTGCATGTTTGTATGTATAAGTGGGAGCTAAACATTGAATACACATGGACACAAAGACAGGAACAACGGAACAGACACTGGGGACTGCTTGTGGGGGAAGTGTGGGGTGATGGAGGTTGAAAAGCTACATATGGGGTACTATGGTCACTACCTGGGTGATGGGCTCATTTGTAACCCAAGTCTGAGTGATACATAATTTACCCATGTAATAAACTTGCATATGTACTCCCCTGACCCTAAAAGTGGGAAAAAAAATTAAAAATAAATAAAAATGAAAAAAAAAAAAGGTCCTAATAAGAGACGGCTGGTGGTAACAAAGTCACCAGCAAAGAACAGGTTATACCAGAAAGCCATATGAAAAGATCAGCAACGCTTCATAAACACACACACAATGTTCTTTGAGGAACTCGATCTCCTAACACAAAGGACCACAAGGAAGAGCTATGTTCCAGTCCAAATCTAAATGTTTCAGATCCAGGTATGTTGTTTTGTATATATACATTTGAAGTAAAATAGAAATGTTACATTCTTTTGATTAGCAGTTCTGTCAGCCAAGGTTCAGCTACAGATAACAGAAACCTCCTCAGCTATTTTGGGCAGCAGATTTAGTACACAGAATTCGGTGCTTATACAATTGTTGAAAAGGCTAGAAGGGCAGATCCAGTGCCTCCAGGAATAGACTCCTGGAACACATAAGGACTGGTCTACCAGGAGAACTGTTTCCTCTGACACACTGAAGCGTCTGGGAAACGACGAAAGTTAATTACATCAACTGTGAGCTCCAAGGTCAAACCACTTTGGCAGAGTCTAGGGATCAGGGAGTTTCAGGGGGTTGAACTGTGAACTCTGGCACCCCGTTGGATGTGTAGAACTGCACCAGGAAAATGGCTAACTCATATGCCTTGGCTCATACTGAGTTCAAAAGCCACACATTTTTCTGAATAATGGAAACCAAATCATATCCAGAACTCCAGGCAAGGGAGTTTAAGAAATAGAACATTCAGCTTTCCAACCTCTGCTTTATGGGAAGTACAACAGGAGAACCCTGGAACAGATCATGAGCCAGCTGGTCGGGCATGGTGGCTCATGCCTATAATCCCAACACTTTGGGAGGCCAAGGCAGGAGGATCGCTTGAGGCCAGAAGTTTGAGACCAGCCTGGGCAACATAACGAGACGTTGTCTCTATAAAAAACTAAAAATTAGCTGGGCGTGGTGGTGTATGCCTGTAGTCCTAGCTACTGAGGAGGCTAAGGCAGGACAATCCCTTGAGCCCAGAAGTTCGAGGTTACAGTGAGCTACAATCGCACCACTGCACTCTAGCCTGGGTGACAGAGCAAGACACTTGTCTCTTAAAAAAAAAAAAGAAAAAGAAAAAAGGTAATAATAAATAAGATAATGAGCCAGTTAATCTAGTATACCCACCATACCATTCTAATAAAGTACAAAAATACTCTACCAAAGGGAGGAGGAGGAGGAGGCCAGAGGAGCAGCAGCAGCTGCTACTTAAGATACACCACAATCGAACGCAAAAGCAAATGTAAAAGGGCATTTCCAAGCTAACAGGATAAATGTGGAAACAGTAGTTTCAGCAGTAAATAGTATTACAGAATTATGAATAATTTTGTTAGGTAACATTATGGGTATATAAGAAATGCCATTTTAGAGCTTACTGAACTATGAAATACGGTATTATGATGTCTGGAAATTGCTTCAAAATACTTGAACTAAAAATGCCAGGGAATGGAAAGAGGACAACAAAAACCTTAATTACAAAATCTGGGTAATAGGGCTCATTTTATTCTCTCTGCTTGTTTCACTGAAATTTTTCATGAAAAAGTTACAAAATGTTATTCCAAGAGAAATATGAAAACTACACATTATTTTCATCTACTGCTTCACCCTCACAAGCTTTAATTTTCCCACAGCCTTAGAATATGTATCATCTTCTGTAAGTCCTGGCTTATAGTCTTCAAAAATACCAAGGTTGCCCAAGACAGACTGAGGAACAGTCCGGATTAAACAGTAAGGGAATGTACCAATGAAATGCAACACGTAATACTGAACTGGACCACGGGCCAGAATTTTGTTTTTCCTTTTTGCCATAAAGGACATTATTACGACACTTGCCAGAGGTGAATAAAGTAATACATACTCATGGTATTTTGGAGTCAAAGGGACATTATGTCTACGACTTGCTTTCAAATGATTCAGAAAAAACACCATGTATGTAGAGAGAAAATGATAACAGCAAATGCGGAAAATGTCAATAATGGGGGCATCTGCTTTTAGGATATATGGGAGTTCTTTGTTCTATCCTGGCAACTTTTCTATAAACCAGAACTATTTTAAAATTTTCAAAAAGTATAAAACATAAGTGGCAGCACTTGGTAGCTACTGAAGAGAAACAGCAGTTTCTTCAGTCTAATTAAATGAAAATAAAAGTAATAGATAAATAACTGGAGTGTCATATAGTGCTTCTTCAGACCCCATTCGTGGGGGCACTTCCCCCCAATTGGAACTTTTTTTTTCTTTGCATTGTGTGTTTATTTGTACTTCTAATTTTAGCAACAAAGTCTGAATACAATCATATAAGTTGTCTCTGGACATTTACATTGCTGCAGTTGAAATACACAGCCTCAGTTTGGCAAGTTTATACGTTCAAGATGCTTCCTGCTATAGTGACTAGATGACCATTAACTAGACTGTTTTACCTTAAAAAATAAAGTGGCATTGGCCAGGCATGGTGGCTCACGCTTGTTATCCCAGCACTTTGGGAGGCCAAAGAGGGCAGATTACGAGGTCAGGAGTTTGGACCACACTGACCAACATGGTGAAACACCGTCTCTACTAAAAATACAAAAATTAGCTGGGCGTAGTTGTGCACACCTGTAATCCCAGCTACTCAGGAGGCTGAGGCAGGAGAACCGCTTGAACCTGGGAGGCAGAGGCTGCAGTGAGCCGAGATTGCGCCACTGCACTCCAGCCTGGGCAAAAGAGCGAGACTCAGTCTCAAAAAGAAAAAAAAAAGTGGCATTAAGGCATTAAGGAAATGTCTGAGCTACAATTCAGATGGGCTTGAGTTTCCATCCAGGCTTGCCACTTAAGTAGCCATCACTTAGTGACTCAATCCTCAGACCCTCAGCTTTCTCATGTAGAACACAGCAATACCAACATCTACTCTTGCAAGTCTGCTTGTGGCTATTCATTTAAATCAGGAACATACGTCAAACAAGGTTCTATGGTACAAAATTGTTCAATACAAATTTATTAAGATTTCTTAAGAGAAAAGGTAAATCCTGCTGTCAAAAAAAATCTCCAAATGGAATGTGTAACGTTAACATTTCGGCCGGGCGCGGTGGTTCAAGCCTGTAATTTCAGCACTTTGGGAGGCCGAGATGGGCGGATCAGGAGGTCAGGAGATCGAGACCATCCTGGCTAACATGGTGAAACCCCGTCTCTACTAAAAATACAAAAAACTAGCCGGGCGTGGTGGCGGCGCCTGTGGTCCCAGCTACTTGGGAGGCTGAGGCAGGAGAATGGCGTGAACCTGGGAGGTGGAGCTTGCAGTGAGCCGAGATCGCGCCACTGCACTCCAGTCTGGGCAACAGGGCGAGACTCCGTTTCAAAAACAAACAAACAAACAAAAAAAACATTTCATAATGTTACTCTATATTTTTTCTTCATATTGTCACTAATATTAACAAATCTATCCTTGGTATTGTCATTTATTTATACAGCAAATAATTATCAAGTGCCTCTATGAACCAGCTGTTATTCAGACTGGAATAACAAGTGAAAACCACACAGACCAAGTTGCTGTCTGAATCCTACATCCTAGAAGCCAATATTAAACATTAAGTAAGCAAACAAAACAATTTTAGGAGATAGGAGAACTGTAAAGTGTTGATTCTAGCTCTGGTGTACCCAAGACTGATTATTTGCCTTCCCAAATATTCTCTGAGCTACTTTCATAAATTCCCTTTCTGCTGAATCAGCCAGAATTCATTCTATTACTTCATCTAACAATCCAGCCAAAACAGAGATGCCTATTCTCTTGTAACTGACAAAGCCTTTTTCCTTGAGTTCAGGTAACAAAAGCACATTAGATTTCAAGCACATTAGATATTTCAGAACTCACATAACATGCACCAAAAAATCCAACCCTAAGATAGGTATGAGATTATTTTTGTGTGTTGTATATTTTGCTATGGTTACCAAGACATGGTTAGCATTTTGAATTTTTTTTCTTAGAACAATACAATGATCTAAATCTAAAATCTTTCACAAGGTGCAACTTTCCAACGATAAACAAGAACAGGAAGTGAATCTTGAATACAACCAGACTACAAGTTCCCTTCACTATTAAAGTATCTCCTTTGCTGTCACCCGAGTCTGACTTAACCTGCGTTAAACTTCCATCATTCTAGCCTAACAGTTATTAATATCTTTATTTCTTTTTGAACAAAACATATTTCCTATCAGACTGGAAATTTTGACACACTCAAATGTCTGAAGTCCCAAGAGGAACACAGCTAAAATAAAGGAATTGAGCAGCAAAGCAACTCAGAAAAGCAGAAATGAAAACAGATGTTAAACCTCTTTAAAACAAATTTTTACTAATAGCCTCAACCAAAGCTATTTCAGTCAACTACTAGAAATATTCTACCTAGTCAAAAGGTCTCAACAAGCTTCACAGGTCATCAGCTCCTCAAGGGTGTGGGCTAATTCTTTCCAAGGTTCTATCTACCACCCAGCACCATGCATGTCATGACCCTCCATCATGGGTGACTTTGCCCCCCAAGTGTCATTTGGCATTATCTGGAGACATTTTCAGTTGTCATGACTGGGGTAAGACTGGAGGAAGGAGGTTTTGCTACCAGCATGTACTGGGTGGAGGCCAGTGATGCTGCCAGCCACCCTGCAGTGCACGGGACCGCCCCCACCACAAAGGGTTATGCAACTAAAATATCAAAAGTGCTGAGGGTGAGAAAACTCTAGCTTAGGTCAATGATGCCACTGCCCTTCATGTTCAAATACAAAATCACTGATCATGTGGCTTCACGTAGCCTTCTGGCAACAGCTTACGGGCCCTTTTAAACTGGATACATTAGGTCTGTTCCCTGGTAAGACTCTGGCCCCTGAGACTGTCACTTTTGAAATTCCTGCAGTGTTAAAAGCCTGAGTCTCCTTTCACAATTAGCCAGCAATTCCATAAGGTAAGTACCTCTGCATGCCACTTTGATTCAGAAGGCACAGATCTTCAAACATTACTAAAATCTTGTTAAAATGATTGGCAATCTCAGTTCCTAATCAGTCCTCAGGCAATGTCAAGACATAAGTGAGACAAGAAAAGCCTCTTTGTCTTGTTATGTATCTTCTAACATCATGATTTTTCTTTTATCAATTTATAGAAAATAGCAAAATAGCACTGAAGGTTTCTGAGCCTGTTTCCTCAAAGGAGATGCGAGTTCTCACCTTCCAGGGCTGTTCTGAGGAGGGAAAGTGGCACATCAATGGGCCCACCTGCAGAGTGTCTAGGATGAGCCTGGCGTGTGCTCGCTGACTGCCAAGGTGACGTAGTGCCAAGTACAATGCCGGACACATGGTATCCAACACCCAAATACTGAACTGAGCCCAAAAGTGTGGGAACTTTTTGTTCGAGAAAGGACATATCTTGTGAATATAAGAATGAAAGGATTATATGCTTCTCTCTAGGTAAGATGTGGAAATGATTTTATAAGTCCACACTTCAATCCTTAAAAAAAAAAAAAAAAATCACTGAACCCAAATGTGAAATTCAACTTTTATACTTTTCTTTTTTTTTTTTGAGATGGAGTCTCTCTGTCACCCAGGCTGGAGTACAATGGTGTGATCTCATCTCACCGCAACCTCCTCTGCCTCCTGGGTTCAAGCTGTTCTCCTGCCTCAGCCTCCCAAGTAGCTGGGATTACAGGTGCCCACCAACACATCTGGTTTATTTTTGCATTTTTAGCAGAGATGGGGTTTCACCATGTTGGTCATGCTGGTCTCAAACTCCTGACCTCAAGTGATCTGTCTGCCTCGGCCTCCCAAAGTGGTGGGATTACAGGCATGAGCCACCACGCGCAGCCTATATTTTTCTCTTAAGAGATTTGAAGTAGCTTACTGAGTGAGAGAGAGAGAGAAAAAAAAAAGAAGGAAGGAAGGAGGGAGGGAGGGAAGGAAGAAAGGAAAAAGGACATTAGCAGAGACACAATAATTTAGTGCAAAAAAATAACTGAAGCAACTAGCGTGTGGCAGACTGAGCCCAGTCAGTTTTCTTTGTCTCTTCGGTATTAAAGAACACTCTTCACTACTCCATGCTGAGGGAGCTGTAAGAGAGAGTAAGATCCTGCTCTTTCAAAAGCATCCAGTTGAGAGAGTGGTCAATTAGGTAAATATTTACAATCTCAATGAATGTTTGATGTAACTTACAAGCACAAAGTTAACTGGGAGCAGGAAGGAAGGAGACGTTAATTCCAACCCTGGCTGAAGCAGGGTTTCATGGAGCAGAGCTATCCAAGCGGACACTTAAAGTTCTCCTTGTTTTCTTGGTAGAAGTTTGTCAAGCAAAGAGGAGAAAGGGTGTTGTAACCACAGCTGTCGTAATAAATGAATCCAGAGAAATCTGAAATGATGTATGCGTGACAGGCAGTAGTGAGTAATGCAATTTAGGTGACAGGCAGAGTACAAGGAAGGGATGACAGAAAATGAGGCTGGGAAGACTGGCTGGAGCTCTGACGTGTGTCACAAGCAAGTTAAACTTCATAGAACAGCAGGAGGGAGCCAAAGAAGATTTCTCAAGGTGTAAAGGAATAAGACCAGATCTCCTTTGTAGATAAAATTAGGGGAGAGGGGCAGTGCAGATGATGGCATTGAGATGGTGGCAGGGAGAACAGTTAGGAGGCTACGATAATAGTCCAAACAAAAGGAGATGAAATCAAAAGATGAAATACTTTTCATTTATCTATTTGCTCTATCAATCCATCCATCTCGCAGTTGTGTCCACTATGTGGGAGCCACTACGCGAACCAAGTGCTATCAACTGAATGTTTCTGTCCTCTCCAAATTCATATGTGAAAATCCTAACCCTCAGTGTGATGGTCTCAGGAGATGGGGCTTCTGAGAGGTGATTAGGGCACGAGGGTGGAGTCTTCGTGAACAGGATTAGTGCCCTTATAAAAGGGAACCCATTGAACTCTCTGCTTTCTGCCATGTGAGGACACTGTGAAAAGACAGCCCCAAACACCAAATCTGCCAGTGCCTTGATCCTGGACTTCTCAGCCTCCAGTACTGTGTGAAATAAATATCTGTGGTTTATAAGTCACGCAGTCTAGGGCATTTTGTTAGAGTAGGCTGAACAGACTAAGGCAGTGAGGCATCATGAGTGAGACAGACTAACACAGTCTCCTCCTGGCACAAAGCCTGTATTCTAGTGGAGGTGGCAGATAGCAAATCATGTGTTACATTTTCTTTACTATCTATAGTGATGAGCGCTGTAAGAAAGAAAAGTGTTCTAAGAAAGCGCATCACAAGAGACTGTGGCCTAGTCTGAGGGTGGGGCAGTCAAAGACGGCTTCTGCAAGAAGTGACCTTTAAGCTTCTCCTGAAACCCTTGAACGGTGGCAGTTTATTTTCTCACATCCTTCATTATAAATACAAATTTTGATATATTTTTTATTAGTCAACTTTGCTCTGTGCAATCACATTCAAGTATTTAAGTATTTATTTACTAAAATCTCTGGTAGGGCTAACCAAACCAGTAGGTACTGTTGGGAGGGGAAGAGGAGTGGGATCATTGCAAAAGCAGGGGAGATAAAGGGGTAAGAAAAGGAGGTGGCAAGCCGAGAGGGAGGTGGGAAAAGGAGAAAGAGAACAGTTCAAAATCCAAAGGCTTTGGCTACACAACAGCAGACTAAAGTCTATTTTTCTCAGTATAAATACTGAGTAACTCATGAAGGAAAGAAAGTCAACATTCACACACATTTGTTATAATCAATACTCAGAAATACAATTCTCCACAAACTGATGGAACATGAGGAACTATAAGCCTGTCAGTTTCTGTTGCTTTATCTTGACTTGGAGGCACAGTGGTTTTAGATTCAAGTGATGTAGGTTAAAATTTCAATAGAGTTATATGTTTCGGGACAGATTTCTTAGTCTCTCTAAAAATGTTTTCTTAGCAGTAAAACAGTAACAAAGTTACTGTTAAATAAATAGTAAAACTATCAACAAAGTTTATTTTTTAAATAGGAATTAAAGGAGAGAAGATATCTAAAAATACCTATTCATTCAACTTATCTAATCTATTAACACGTTCATGTGATCACTTCAAATTTGGAGATCCTGGTAGTCCTATCTTTAGGTTGAGAAATATCACTTTTTTTCACTTTTAAAGACACTGATCATTTTTCAAACTATGATGACTATTTACATGTTGGCTATTTAGCCCAAATTCAAAGCAGAGACACAATAATTTAGAAAGCTAACTGTCACTTATTGCTAACTTTGCCCACAATACCCACTTCCCTTAAAAATATTCCAACGGTTGCAATTCGAGATGACCACAGATGATTGTAGGTGTGCTGCTATTCTCTGACTGGCCCTCAACTCCAGACAGCGCAATCCCTTCATGTGCCCGAGACAGTGAATACCACTGCCTGGTACCAACTCTATTACCACATGTAGTAATAATGTAGTAATAATTAATAATAGCATAGCCCCAATGAAAGCCACACACAGGGCTACAAATTAAAGAAAAACGTCACATAAAATACCTATAATGGATTATTTTAAATAGGTCCAAATAACCAAATTAATCCACAGAATAATGTTGGCACCATTACAGCTATTTCTTAGCTTCCTGAATTATCTGTGCCCAGTCCTGGAAAGCTTTATCCTGTGCAATGCAAGAGGCAGAACTGGAAAACATGGAGAAGGTGAGACCTGTGCCCTACATTAATCTGCTCATCGAGAACAGCAGGAAAGGCCCCTTTATCGGGAGACCATGAGGAAATTGATCCTACAGAAACTGGGTATCTGCAGAAATTAGAAGAACATTATGTTCCTATAGATGGATCCTGAGACTAAGCAAGTTCCCTCTTGCTCATTTACCACTACCCACCTCCGGATTTGAGGCTTGCAGGTAGTGACAGAGGGGATGGGGCAAAACTGCCTGAAATACTCAGAGCCTCGGTAAGTAGGCCCAGAGAGTGAGACGATAGAGCAGTGATTACAAGGACAATTTTACTTTGAGTAAGAAAGTGATGCTTGAGGATGACACAATGTAAAATGGCCTTGATAAAATGTTTGAATGATTGTAGAGGTAACTATTAATGCAGAAAAAAATGATTTCATGACTGCAAGTATTCTTAAAACACACACCTTTTTAAAAACCAATCTTGCCTTTTATTTTATTTATTAATTTTTGAGATAGAGTTTCGCTCTTGTTGCCCAGGCTGGAGTGCAATGGCACGATCTCGGCTCACCACAACCTCCGCCTCCCAGGTTCAAGCAATTCTCCTGCCTCAGCCTCCTGAGTAGCTGGAATTATAGGCATGTGACACCGCGCCTGGCTAATTTTGTATTTTTAGTAGAGACGGGGTTTCTCCATGTTAGTCAGGCTGGTCTCGAACTCCTAACCTCACGTGATCCACCCGCCTCAGCCTCCCAAAGTGCTGGGATTGATTATAGGCGTGAGCCACCGTGCCCCGCCTTACTATTGCCTTTTAAAGATGGTAGTTTGAACATACATATTTATCTCCTCTGTTCTTTCCTAAAATCTCATAAGAGTGACATTAAAAGGATTTTTTTAAAGGTACAGGCCCACAAAGACAAGGAAGAGTAGATGATCCTAAAAATTTTTCTAAGTTAGAAAACAGCAACACTGTACAGGGGTAGCTATCTTGGCAAACCTGAGAAAGCCAAATACTAAGCCAGCAGTGGTGAAATCTGAGAGGCAACCTGATTAACATTTGACTTCCCAAAGGCTGCAGGGCCAGGGTTTTCCAGAAGTGCTAAGAGGCAGGCAGAACACTGCCCAGCCACCACCCGAACTCTACCCACCTGCTGGCTGGCTGTGGTATTCTACAAAAATGTATTGGTGTTTGGCTCCCAAAACATCTTTGGAATCACCTAAGTGACAGAAGTGTCTTTTCTTCTTCATAATGAGCCCCTTTCAACCACATCTGAATTTACCCTAATGGATTATTTAGGGTAGAGCCCCTGGATAGCCTCAGATGGAGTTGGTTGACCAAGTGACTAGAGGGGTGGAACTTTCAGCACCACCCACGCACCTCCAGAAGCGGGGTGGTGGGACATGGAGCCCTATAAAGACTCTTCTGCAGTGACATTCAGACAGCTTCTGGGTTGGTGAATACATGGAGGTGCTGAGAGGGTGGGGTGCCCAGAGACAGCATGAGAGCTCCATGCACTCTCACTCCACCCTCCCACCTTGCCCTATGCGTCTCTTCCATTTGGCTGTTCCTGAGTTGTATCCTTTATAATAAACCAATAAACGTTAAGTCAAATATGTTCCTGAGTTCTGTGAGACATTCCTGCAAATGTATCAGACCTGGTGGGGGGAGGGTTGTGGGAACCCCCAATTTACAGTGGGTCAGTCAGAAGAACAGGTGTCCTGCAACGTGTGACTGCCATCTGAAGTAGGGACAGTCTTCTGAGACTGGGCTCTTTGACTTGTAGGATCTGACACTAACTCCAGGTAGAAAGGGTCAGAACTGAACTGAACTGCTGGACAC